TACTCAATAAATGCTAACAAATTATATTATTAGGAATATTATTAATACATTGTCATGGTTTTAAAAGTAGTACAAAAAGGAATAGAAGGCACAAAATATGACATTTTTTAATGTTCTTAATGTATAAATTCTTCCATTTCTATTAAATTTCATTTTGGGGCATATTCTTCCCAGACCTACCTCTCTAGATGCATGGCACTTTTAACATCTCCTTCATAGGAGTACTTAATTAAATAATTAGCTAAGTAGGCAATTTCTAGTTCATCTCTGTCATCCTCCATGAAAGCAAGGATAGTATCTGTCTATGCCCAAAATCTAGCAGAGGTCCTGGTACTTTGTTGACTAACAAATATTTGTTGAATCAAAGAACAAGTAATGAAAAACAATTTTAACATATACATTTTAAAATGGCATAATCATGAGATTAGAGACAAGTATTGTTTCCTCCATCTATCTGAGAAATGAGGAGTTGTCCATTTTGTAAGCTAGGAAGACAGTCAACATTTAGATTCTGATGAGCTATTTTGGCAGCTCTTCCTTACTAGAATCACACTGCCTGAACCTGTTACAGGAATCCTTCCAGTTATAGTAGAACACTGGAAACCCAGTACTTTTCCAGAGCCTCAGTTTCAGTAAAGGAAAAGTACTCAGTCTGTCTGGATTTTCTACATTAGCCCTTACCCACGGACTCATGAAAGGGTAGGAACCTTAAAACTGTCTTTCATTTCACAAATGAGGAAATGAGCCCAGAAAAGTGGACTGACTTTTCAAAGTCTAATACTTGCTTATAATAGAGCTGGTGTAATTGAAAATAGAATCATTCTTACAGTTTTCTCTCTCTCTCAATGGTAATAATATCATTCATGTAAAACTATCTTCATAAAATAGTTTTTTTTTTACATTAGAGAAAACACCCTTGATATGTTAAGTGGAAAAAGCAGACTAGAATTGTATGTATGATATGTATTTAAATATAAAATATACAAATATATGTGTGTGTGTGTGTATTTCTCAGTTATCTATGTAGAAAATTTTAAAAGTGTGCCATAATATTGATAGTGTTTATTTCAGGTTGATGGGGGTTATAGTCTCTTTTTATTCATGCTTTTCTGCATTAAAATTTATCTTCAATGAGCATGTAATTCTTTATAATGAGAAATTTAGGTTTCCAATTCCTGATACAATATTTTTGAAAGATTTATTTTTATATTGATCAGCACTTCAGGGTGAGGGAGCATCAACCTAGAGTTCAAAGATGTTTTACTGGTCATCTAATCTAATCTGTAAAATGGGGATGATTATACCTACTTCACTGGGCTCTTGTGTGAATGAAATAATAAATATAAAATTCCTTTGTAACTCTAAAGCTTGAGAAAGGTGTTTGGTGGTATTATAATGATGACAAAGTCCTGAGGTCTAATAAAGGTGGGAGAACCCTTAGGTTAACATACCTTTGTTCTGAGAAGCTTTATGTTGAGAGAGGACAGAGATCAAAGTATCAAGAGAAAAGTGAGAGCTCCCCCCACACCAATACTTAAAGGAAACAGTCACATGCCTGTCCCCACTTCTCCCAATCCCCTATATATCCAATAAATGCCTCAATGTTCCCCCTTCAGATTAAAGCATTCATCTATCTCTTAAGCAGCTGTGCCAGAAGCAGCTTGTAGTGGACAGGATCTAGTGTATTTTAAGGCAATGGCAGGTTTGGTTCACATTCCCTGCAGAATGAAAAGGAAGCCCATGTAGGAATGTGACCAGCAGCCTGCTAAGGCCTATCTAGTCCCAAATCAGAAAGGGGCTATTTCCACTCTGGATGATTAGAGTTTGTTATGAAAAAAAGGTAACTTTTAACCATTTGTATTTATCCTCTGCAAGGCTTTCTTTTTTTTTTTTTATCCTTACCTGAAGACATTTTTCCATTTTTTATTCAGATAGAGTGGGAGAGAGAGAGAGAGGGAGAGACAGAGAGACAGAGTGAAAGGGACACATCGAGTGGCTGCCACCAGCACTACCCAATCAGGGCCGGGGACAAACTGCAACTGGGATATTTGCCCTTAGTGGGAACTGAACCCGGGTATCTCCGGACCACAGGCCGACGCTCTAACCGCTGAGCCAAACCGGCCAGGGCTTCTTTTTTTTTTTTTTTAAATCCTCACCCAAGCCCTGGCCAATTTGGCTCAGCGGTTGAGCATCGGCCTGTGGACCAGAGACTCCTGGGTTCGGTTCCCGTTAGGGGCACGTTCCACAAAAAATAAATAAATAAATAAATAAATCCTCACCCGAGGATACTTTTCCGTTCATTTTCAGATAGAGTGGGAGGGAGAGAAACACTGATGTGAGAGAGACAAATTGATTAGCTGCCTCCTGAACGACCCCAACCAGGACCCGGGATCAAACCTCAACTAAAGTATGTGCCCTTGACTGTAATTGAACCGGGGACTCTGGTCTGCAGGCTGATGCTCTAACTGCTGAGCCAAACCAGCCAGGGTTGTAAGGCTTTCTTAATTATATCTTCAGGTTCTCACACAGTCTATGGAAAATAAGATTTCACACAAAGCAATTATTTTTTAAATTAATAAGAGGTACCAAATGTAATATGCCAAATTAATATTACTTTTATATTTTAAAAAGTAATACAGACCTATGGTAAATTTACTCAAGAAAAATGAAAATGTATGTTCACACAAAAACCTACACATGAACATTTATAGCTCCTTTATTCATAATTGCCCCAAATTGGAAATAACTCAAGTGTTCTTTAACTGGTAAACAGATAAACTGTGATACATCCATATAATGGGATAGTATCTAGCCACAACAAGAAATGACCTCTTGATAAACACAACAACATGGATAACTCTCAAAATGCATTATGCTAACTAGGGAAGCCAGATGCAAAAAGCTACATATTGTATTATTTCAATATATGACATTCTGAAAAAGGGAAATTATAAGGGAAAACAACTCAGTCTTTTCTTGATTGTGATGGTTACATGAATGTGCTTTTGTCAAAACTTATAGACTAGTAAATCAAAAAGTGAATTTTATGCCCTGGCCGGTTTGGCTCAGCGGTTGGAGCGTCTGCCTGCGGTACAGAGAGATCCGGGTTCGGTTCCCGCTAAGGGCACGTGCCTCGGTTGCAGTTTGTCCCCGGCCCTGGTTGGTCATGCGGGTGGCAGCCACTCGATGTGTCCCTTCACATCGATGTCTCTCTCTCTCTCTCTCTCTCTCTCTCTCTCTCTCTCTCTCTCTCTCCCTCTCTCTCCCTCCCGCTCTATCTGAACAAAAAATGGAAAAATGTCCTCAGGTGAGGATAAAAAAAAAAAAAGTGAATTTTATTACATAAAAATAAAAAATAAATGTATAAAACTAAATATAAAGTAAAAAAAAATCATGGTAAATTCAAACAATACAAGGAATTCAGTAAAAAGTCTTCCTCTTGGATCTTTGTGGTGATAGAATAAATAGTTCTGCATTTTGATTGCAGTGATGGTTATATAAATCTACACGTGTGATAAAATGACATAGAACTACACAGTATATCAGTATCAATTTCCTGCTTTTGGTTTTATACTATAGTTAAGATATAACCATCGGGGAAACTAGGTAAAGGGTACTGGGATATCTTAGTTATCTTGGCAACTTTCTGTGTGTATGTTGTTCTGCGTGTGTGTGTGTGTACATGTACATGTGTGTATTTTAAGTCTCTCTCAACCAAGCTTCCAGACTCTAGTCTTGCTCCTCACTCCGCAGAGGTGAGACTATTACAAATTTCTTTCATTTACTCTGCCTAGTAAATCTAATATATATGTATATACAAATTTATACATAAATACTTTTAACACAAACAGTACACATTGTTCTGCACCTTGCCATTTTTTCTTTTTTTTTCTAATCCTCACCTGAGGACATTTTTCCATTTCTTGTTCAGATAGAGTGGGAGGGAGAGAGAGAGAAAGAGAGAAGGAGAGAGAAACATCAATGTGAAAGGGACACATCGAGTGGTTGCCACCCACACGACCCCAACCAGGGCCGGGGACAAACTGCAACTGAGGTACGTGCCCTTGGCAGGAACCGAACCCAGGTGTCTCTGGACTGCAGGCCAAGGCTCTAACTGCTGAACCAAACCGGCTAGGGCCATTTTTCTTTTTTCAATTTTTTTTTTCTTTATTGATTTTAGAGAGAGAGGAAGAGAGGAAGAAACAGGGAGAAAGAGAGAGAAACATCCATGAGGGAAAACATCTGATTGGCCTCCTCCTGCAAGCCCCTCACTGGGGATTTGGCCCACAACTCCGGCATGTGCCCTGACCGGGAATCTAAAAGGAGGACCTCTTTGTGCATGAGTCCACGCTCAACCACTGAATCACACCAGCGCTACACCTTGCTATTTTTCAACTCTTACTTTGGATACTTTTCCATATCACAAACACATGGATCAATGGCATTCTTTTTTCCTGCTGCATAGTATTCCACCACACAGTGGTATCATGATTTATTTCAACAGTTTCTTACTGATTGATGGGCATTCCAGTCTTAACAAATAATTGAATTTAATTTAGAAAATATTAAACATGAAAGATCAGCTGAGATTAAACACAAAGTTTTCACAGATTCAAGACCTGCCTCCAGAATATCTTTTGACCAGAAGGGGGAATGCTAGCGGCAGGAGAAAACAAAACGATGGGAAATTTCCCCGGCCAATGGGGGAAGAGCGGCCGGCAGGGAATTACTGCCGGGTATGAATTCGCTTAAGCAGGAGGCCCGGCTCCAAGCCAAGCTTTCCCCAGGATGCAGTTCAGATATACTGAAGTGCGTCAGGGTTATGCACCGTGCAGTGATTCCTGACCATCTCCAGTGTCTTGGGAGGACCTCCTGTCCTAACAAGGTCTGCATCCTCACTGCCTCCAGCCCAGGGGGCGTACACGTGGTGACCTCCCTGGGGCTGGTTCCCTCCTCTGGCTCCTCCTCCCTCCAGCTCTCACTCCGCTTTCTGCAGTATCACGTGCAGCCGCGCCGGGTGCAGGATGGCGGCAGCTGCGGTGGGTGTCAGAGTCCGGGACTGCTGCAGCCGGGGCGCTGTGCTCTTGCTCTTCTTCTCCCTGTCCCCTCGGCCCCCGGCCGCCGCCGCCTGGCTGCTGGGGCTAAGGCCGGAGGACACCGCTGGAGGCCGCGTGTCCCTGGAGGGAGGCACCCTACGGGCGGCAGAAGGCACCAGCTTCCTCTTGCGCGTCTATTTCCAGCCCGGGCCCGCGGCGCCAGCGGCGCCGGTGCCCGCACCCACCCTATCCTTGGGAGAGAACAGCACCGGCGACTGGGCTCCGCGGCTCGTGTTTATAGAGGAGCCGCCAGGCGGGAGCGGCTTGGCGCCCAGCGCTGTCCCCACGCGCCCTCCGGGGCCGCAGCGCTGCCGCGAGCAGAGCGACTGGGCGTCGGATGTGGAGGTTCTGGGGCCCCTGCGTCCTGGAGGCGTGGCCGGCTCGGCTCTAGTTCAGGTGCGAGTGCGAGAGCTGCGCAAGGGTGAGGCAGAGAGGGGCGGCATGGGCAGTGGCGGGAAGCTCTTCTCGCTGTGCGCCTGGGACGGGCGCGCCTGGCACCACCACGGCGCCGCTGGCGGCTTCCTGCTGCGCGTCCGCCCGCGGCTGTACGGGCCAGGCGAGGGCCTGCTGACCCCAGCGTGGCTGCGGGCGCTCGGAGCGCTCCTGCTGCTCGCCCTGTCTGCCCTGTTCAGCGGCTTGCGCCTAAGCCTGCTCTCGCTGGACCCGGTGGAGTTACGGGTGTTGCGGAACAGCGGCTCGGCCACCGAGCAAGAGCAGGCGCGCCGCGTGCAGGCGGTGCGCGGCAGGGGAACCCATCTGCTCTGCACGCTGCTCCTGGGCCAAGCCGGAGCCAACGCGGCCCTGGCCGGTTGGCTGTACACCTCGCTGCCGCCGGGCGTCGGGGATCCGGGGGAAGACTACGGCGAGGCGGGGATTCACTTCCCGTGGCTGCCGGCGCTTGTGTGTACCGGAGCCGTGTTCCTGGGCTCGGAGATCTGCCCCTACTCGGTGTGTTCACGGCACGGGCTGGCCATTGCCTCGCACAGCGTGTGCCTGACCCGGCTTCTGATGGCGGCCGCTTTCCCCTTGTGTTACCCGCTGGGCCGCCTGCTGGACTGGGCGCTGCGCCAGGAGATCAGCACTTTCTACACAAGGGAAAAGCTGCTGGAGACGCTGCGGGCCGCGGACCCCTACAACGACCTGGTAAAGGAAGAGCTCAACATCATCCAGGGTGCCCTGGAGCTGCGTACCAAAGTGGTGGAAGAGGTGCTGACCCCCCTCGGAGATTGCTTCATGCTTCGTTCCGACGCCGTGCTGGACTTCGCCACAGTCTCCGAGATCCTGCGCAGTGGCTACACTCGCATCCCGGTGTATGAGGGCGACCAGCGGCACAACATTGTGGACATTCTGTTTGTCAAGGACTTGGCCTTCGTGGACCCCGACGATTGCACCCCACTCCTCACTGTCACCCGCTTCTACAACCGGCCCCTGCACTGCGTCTTCAATGATACTCGGCTGGACACGGTGCTGGAAGAGTTTAAGAAGGGTGAGCAGTGGTCTATGTCCTTTCTCAACTCCTATCCCCATCAAAAGTATTACCCTTTTATAAACATGTGAGACCTCAGGTGTCCAAAGCAATTCTCCCGTGGTACCAAAAACTCAAGATAGACCCCACTTCATGACTTAATTTCACTTCTTCCTACCTTCCTTACAGCTGACTGAGCTCCAAGCCTCTTCCCCTTAACTTGGCTCACAAGATGCCCCATTTTCTCATTCATTTCATTCTAGTATTTTTCAGGGCCTACCATTTGCCAGGTATTGTGCAGAATAGACTTTGGAGATAGTCCTTGAAGGTCATTGCATATGGCTACTAACCCATTACAGGAGGAACCTTTACAGGTTCCCATAACAAGCCGACTTTGTTTTAAACTCCTCCCAGGGCTGAAAGCTCACTATTTCCAGGGCAAACTCAATCCACTGCTGGACAGCTCCAGCTGCTGACAAAGTCTTTCTTACATAGAGTAGAAATTTGTTTCTCCCAAACTTCTCTTTGGGTCCTAGTTATGACCTTTGAATCACATGGAGTAAGACCCAAACACCTTAGACATTCTTTCCCCCCTATTGAATTTTCCACCATCTACCTCATACATCAAGTGCACAGGTTGGAGATTAAAAATTGACTAAGGAAGTGAGGTCCTTGTACTTCTGGGAACTATGTTCCCATGAGGTAGGATAGAGCTGGACCTAAGGAAATATTCTGGTAAAGGGAACCACTAGAAAACTTGCATATCCACTTGAAAAGAAAACGTGTTTCCTTCAGAGCAGTCACCATCCCCCGTGTGATGTCATGCTTATAACATGTTCACTACATGTCTGGTGTTGTCTTTGGAAACTGTCTTCTGGGCTTGAGAACAATTCACCCAAGAAATATTAGTACTTTGGGGTCAGTCCTCCTGGCATTCCACAGTTTGACTGGTCTCCCTAGTTAACCAGAGTTGACCTAGAAGAATCCTCGGTTGTTTTTTAAAATCAAATCCACTTCAAAAGTCACCTCTGAGAGCATTCAGAAGACTGTCTCACAGTCTCTAAAAGTGATTCCAGAAATGATCTGAACAGTGCCATGGTTAGAAAAAAGTAGGACCTTCCAGAATGACTATTTTGAAGGAGGTACTCATCTATACATATGAGTTGGCACATTTATTACAAACTAAGCTAAACAAAAAATAATAATTCCCTGACTTTAGAATTAATCTTCAAGTGTAGCTTCCCTGTGACTAGCAGGAATCTTATTTGACTGTGTGTGTTTTTTGTCTTTTTTAAATCCTCACCCAAGGATATATTTTCCATTTATCTTCAGATAGAGTAGGAGGGAGGGAGAGATGTAGTGAGAGAAAAACATCGATGTGGAAGAGACACATTAACTGGCTGCCTCCCACACCACCCTGACCAGGGCGGGAACAAACTGTAACTGAGGTACGTGCCTGTGGCCAGAATTGAACCCACAACTCATTGGTCCATGGGCCGATGATCTACCGCTGAGCCAAATAGGCCAGGGCTGACTGTATGTTTTTTATTTTGTTTGTCAAAAATTCAATTTCATTGTCTTATCATCACAGGTAGTCTTTAGCTCTTAGATATCAGAAAGATATCTGGGATCGTCCTTCTGCTGCTACCAAGGAGAAAACAGTAAAAAAGCTGCTTTCAGTCTCAGATTTGGGAAGAGAATAGCCCTAGACTTTGTGTTGGTATCATGAGAAGGGGAGGAAGTGTGTGTGGGGGGGTGTGTGGGTGTGGGTGTGTGTAGCACCTGTTTTAGCCCAATTTAGGCTACTATCTCACCTTCTTCAGTCTGTCTCCCTCCAGTTCTTCCAATACTCTGAGGTTCATCCATCCACACTTAGAATTATCCTACCATTTTGTGTACCCTACAGAAGGGAGTCTTGGATTTGGCAATAAAAGCTGTGAAAATCTGTGTAAGTTTGTTAAGGATGCCATGACAAAATACCACACACTGGGTGACTTAAACAACAGAAATGTATTTTCTCACAGTTCTGGAAGCTGGTAGGGTAAGATCAAGTATCATCAGTTTGGTTTCCTCTGAGGCCTCTCTACTTGGCTTGCAGATGGCCACCTTCTTGCTGTTTTCTTATCCCTGGAGTCTCTCTCTCTTCTCATTTTATAATGACACCAGGCAGATTGTATTAATGTCTACCCTATCAGCCTCAGTTTAACTTAGCCATCTCTTACGTGTGATATTTAGGATAGAGTGCAGTTTAAGTGTCTCATTGTCATGTGCTACGAGAAGACATTTTTTTTTTTAATCCTCACGCAAGGACATTTTTTTTTTTTTTTTTGCATTTATCTTCAGATAGAGCAGGAGGGAGAGAGAGAAACATCGATGTGAGAGACACATCGACTGGCCACCATCCATACAACCCCAGCCAGGGCCAGGGACAAACTGCAACTGAGGTATGCGTCCTTAGCGGGAACCGAACCCGGGATTCTTTGGTCTGTGGGCCAACGCTCTAACCACTGAGCAAACCATCCAGGGCTGAGAAGACATTTTTTTTTTTTTTATCTTCACCCGAGAACATTTTTGCATTTTTTGTACAGATAGAGTGGGAGGGAGAGAGAGGAAGAGAGAGAGAGAGAAACATCGACGTGAAAGGGACACATCAAGTGGCTGCCACCTGCACAACCAACCAGGGCCGGGGACAAACTGCAACCGAGGTACATGCCCTTAGCGGGAACCGAACCCCGGTGTCTCCGGACCACAGGCCGATGCTCTAACCGCTGAGCCAAACCGGCCAGGGCTGAGAAGACATTTTTAATGAAACTCCTGTGAACCCATTGATTCATTCATTTAGTATTTATTGAGCATCTACATAGTGTTAGGCAACAGGGGAGATAGTAAGACTGCCCTCAGAAAGTTACCAGTCTACAAGGGCATACAGTGTTAGAATGAGGACAGCCTTTAGAAGCAGATATTGTGTCTTACTAACCTGTGTATCCCCAGAGCCTGGCACAGTGCTTTGCACAGAATAGGTTACTCAAAAAAAGTCGCTATTGATCTGAAATGAGTCCTGCTGCAGAATTTCTAAATCTGGTCTGTAAAGGCTTGTTAGTGTTTTAGTAGTTAGTTTGTAATTAGGTAGATCACGGAGGGGAAGCAGGCCATTACAGTGAACACCACGCCAAGGAAGGTATGTTCACATCCTTTCAGAGCCTGGCTCTTTCCTCCAAGAATGGTCCACGAACCAGCAGCATGGACCTCACCTGGAAGCTTTTAGAAAGGCAGAATGTCATGCCCCACACTAAATCCACAGAATAAGTCTGCATTTTAACAAGCCTTCAGCTGACTCATGTGTGCATTAAAGTTTGAGAAGCATTGCCTTTGGAGAACCCTTATTAACAGTGATTGATAGATTTACTTAGGACAGAATAAATACAAGGAATAATTATCATGGTGTGTGTTCAGTGGCTCCAAGCTATATAATATATTGGTAATTTCTGAAAGAGTTATGTTTGCACCATAGGTTAGGAGAGGAAAGCCAAGTTGAACTATTCCTTTTTTTTTTTTACCTTTAAAAATAACTTTTTAAGTAAGTCATAAAAGCCCTTCCATTTCCCTCAGTTCTTGGCATCTCAAGTTACTTCACTACCTACACAAACCCCTTAGGAGGTAGGAGAGGAAAATGATAATATTTTAATAGGAACAACAGTTACCATTAATTGAGTGACAACTCTGCCAGGCACCATGCCAAGCCTTTTATGTACTCAGAACAACCCTCCGGGGTAGGTATTATTAACTCCATTTTACAGATGAAGAAACTAAAGTGCAGATCAATTATGTGACTTGCTCAATTTCCCATAGTTAATAACTGACTGAACTGTGATTTGAACTAGATCTACAGGACCCCAAAGCCTATTCTGTGTCCCACTACCCCATTCTTACTTCCCTTCCCATCCCAGAACTCCTGTCACCCACAGGGTTCCAAGCTAGCCTTTCACCTCTGACTTGCTGCCCATGGCTGATTCACCTCTGGTTTCTGCAGGTTAGAAAAGTAGCTTTTATAATGATAATAATTGCTAGCATGCATATTGCATTTTATAAAACATTTCTACCTACCTTTTTTCTCTGATCTTAAAACAACTCAGCAATTATAAGTGAGAACCGTAACACTGCCTACAATCATCACTCAGCTAGTATATTCCAAGGCCCGTATTCAAATCCATTTCATGTGACTCCAAAACTCTTGGCCATATGGGATTTTACCTGTATACTTCTGATGATCCCCAGGTCTTTAGAAAGTGGAGAAAAGGAAAATGGTCTTTCCAGCTAACATGCTAGCTTTACAAAAGGTAACAGTATTTCTCCCCAATGGGCTGTGAGTTCCTTGAAGGCAGAGAATGAATGTTGTTTACTTTGTATTCTCAGGATGAGCACAGTGGTCACCATGGCTAGGAGATGGATACACATTTATTGAATAAATGGTTTTAAATAGCTAGCTTCTATATTTCTATGTTTGAGTGAGGTAAACCCTGAGTTCAGAAAAATTAGTGTTGTTTGTTCAATTGATCATAACCAATCTCTCCTCTTCCTCTACCCAGGTTTTTTACCCCAATTACTGGCACCACGGCCTCTCTAGTCTTCCAGGCTAAAAACCTCTCCTTCACCACCCACCTTTATCCTGCTAATCACTGTCTTAGTCGGCTCCAGCTGCCATAACAAATCATCGTACACTGGGTGGCTTAAACAACCGAAATCTATTTTTTCATGGTTCTATAGACTAAAAGTCCAAGATCAAGGTTCCAGCTGATTTGCTTTCTGATAAAAGCCTCTTCCTAGCTTGCAGAGGGCCACCTCTCACTGGTCCTCACATGACCTTTCCTAAGTGCATGGAGAGAGAGAAACAGGGAGAGGGAGAGGGAGAGGAAGAGGGAGGGAGAGAGAGAACATAAAACACACTGTGATTTCTTCTCCTCTTCTTATAAGGACAGTTAACTGTTGGATTAGGGCCCCACACTTATGTACTTGTTTAACCT